TTTTAAAATAATTAAAAAAAATTTAAAATAGTCATTATGGAATATATGCAAAATATTTAAATGTTTAGGAACCTAACAAAAAAAACTACAAAATGATAGCAAATCTATGATAATTAAGCTTCATGAAGCTTAAAATTTATCTAAAATTCCAACAAAGATTGGAGATGAAGATGTAGTTAATTAGGAGTTTGCTTATAACTCCAAATTGTTTTTTTGAGGAGAAAAAATATGTTAAAGCTCGTCTTTAATATTTTTAGTGTTCTAATGCTTTGCATATAAAGTATTTATTGACTTTTAATGACTTGTAATGACTCATATAACCTCTAATAATATATAAATTTTATGATCTAAATTCACTAATACATCATTGTTGTGTTTGCATCCTGAAACATTTGCGGCGGTAGAGATATATAGAGTTTAGCATGTAAGTTTTGTACGAAGATCCAACATACTGACATATAAGAGAGATCGATGAGTGCAAAAGTCATAAGAGACACAACAAATTTTATATAAAAAACTTGAAAAAGGAGAAAAGTCATGGGGTCTAACCCAGTTAAAATGATTATACTAATATTTCTTGTTGAATACAAATGAGACCCTTCCTTGGGGAGAAGACATTGGCTCGATATAACAATTATACATCATATATGATATATTATATAGTGAAAGTTGGAAGATAATGATATGAGAATTATTTTGAAGAGAGTGTTGGTTTGTTCGTTTGGTCGGTATGACCATAATCAGGCAATGGAAGTCGGCGGGACTGTAGTCGGAGGGAGATAGTGGTCAGAGGAATCATAGTTGGTGAGTGACAGTGATCCAAGGTGTGATAACCCAAATTTCTAAAATGATTTTTTAAATGAAAACAAATTAAAATTTCTTCGTTGTGCATCGCCGAAGAAGGACGAGGAGGAAGGAAAGGAAAGAGGAAAGATGAAAAAAAAGAGAAAAAACATATTTTAGCATCTTGATCTTGATAGGAAATACTTGAGTTCACAAGTAACCATAATGGGAAATACTTGCGTTCGCAAGCAAACTAACTATAATCGGTAAAACAATGAGAAAAATAGAAGAACTTTGGTGGAAATAATAAAAAATAGTAGATAATCTTATAGGAATCAAAGCGAAGCAAGAACGAAACAAAGATACAATTGATCTTCAATTCGAGAGAATGATCGTTTTCTCCCAATCTCTAAACTAGAAGTCTAGAGCCCAAAATACCAAAGAGAACTCCAAGAGAAACAATAATCATGCATGAAAACCTAACACTAATTCCTTCATCCTACTTAAGGCATACAATTAATTAATTAAGCCAAATTACTCCCTTTCCCTTGCCGCCCCCTCCTTTGCCTCCAAATAGTTTGAATTTGAATTCCTAGTGGGGCCTCTCTCTCTCTCTCTCTCTCTCTCTCTCTCTCTCTCCCTCCTTGGGCTTGTCACAGCCCCTACTCCTTTAGCAAAGAACCAGCCCCTTCAAGGGGGCCGGTTGGGGTTGGATCGGTCCACTAGGGACCGGTCTAACATTACCACCCTCCCAAAGAATCACCTTGTCCTCAAGGTGAAAATTTGAGAACTGGTGTTCCATCCTCTAATATGGTTCCTACGTGGCCTCGTAGTTTAGAAGACATTCCCACTTGATTAATAGTTCTTTAGCCCCATTTTCCCTCTTGCGAACCCCCATCAGCTCTAAGGGTCTAATATCACATCTATGTCGTCCATGAGTGTCAATTGTAACTCCGAGCTGGTTGCATATTCTCCAATTTCTCTTCTCAATTGGGATACATAGAAAATCTGATGTATCATCGTCGTTGGTGATAGTTTCAGTCGATATGCTACTGCTCCAATCTTTTACAACACTTCATAAGGTCTAAAGTATCTTGGAGCAAGCTACTCATTCCTCTTGTTAGCTACTGTCTTCTATTTATAGGGATGGAGCTTCAAGAACACTCTCTCTCCTATTTTGAACTAGACGTCCTTCTTATGCCCATCAACTTGTTTATTCATAATCTCTTGTGCCCTCAACAGATGTCTCTTCAGCTCCTATAACACTTTGTCCCTCTCCTCCAAGTAATTCTCCACCAAAGAAACTGGAATTTTGCTATAAAATGATCTTCATTTTTTTGTAATAGAAATATAAATTTGACCTGCAAAATAATCAAAATACAAAATTATTAAAATAAAAATTGGTTATGATTCCTTGCAATGAGATGGACAATTTTCCAATAGGGTCAACGGATGAAAATAACTTTATGGTCTCCAAATCCAAGCCTATATTTTCTCTCATTTTATTTCACTCTTTGAATCCTTTTTCCTTTCTTTATTACCAGCTTCCCAAAGAGATTATAATGGATTTAAAAGATTATGTTCATGGTGAATTAAGATATTTTAATAAAATAAATAAATAATAATATAATAATAATATATTTAAATTCTAGTATAAAATTCATATAAATTCTTTTGGGGATTTGAAATTATTAAAAAATATTCATAAAATAGCTTATTTTATTTAAAAAATATTGGTGATATCGGTTTGTAAAAAAGACACCCAATGGTCCAAAAATTCTCACTTGTACAACATCTATCAATTTATTAAGGATTTGCACTAGTACTAAAAAAATACAAAAAAATTAGTATAATTAAAACATAATAATTTCTATCATATGGTAAAAATGATTTATGATTTGGACTTAAAACGACTCCTAAAAAATTATTTGTTTGGGTTAAAATACATAATATTATAGAAACTACTATTGGTATAATGTAACTATTTCTGATACTATTATTGACTGATTGATTATGTGACTTACTGAGCACGTGATTAAGATATTGTATTGATATATATAATATGATTAATGTTATCAGTTTACTACATTAATATTATTGCTCTTGGTTTACTGCATTGATATGATTTACAGTAATCTTTACCAATGCTTTAGTTTTATTGGTATATATGATTTCCTTACCAATTGTCATTGATTGATAGCACATATATGATTACTATTTTATTATTTCGACACATATACTAGTTTACTAGTTTTCACGCTATACTGCTTTACTGGTTCTCATGTCGTACTGTTTTAATGTTTCTACACTTATTCGTGATTATATGATTATTACTTGTATTAAATTAATTATATATGTATTCTACTTCTTAATTGTGCTTTAGTTCAATTGTAAGATTTGGTGACCAGCTTGGCTATTTAACTTTATATACATGGTTTAAATGATTTCAGGGCATAACAGATGATCAAGAGTGTAAGGATGATCAGGTTTCTCAAAATTCACTATTATTCATTTCTTTTTGTCTGTAGTTATTCTTTTGTACTCGAGATTGAAACGATAAATTATATTTGTATGATTCCTCAGTATTGTATATAATTTTGAAGAAATGAAGAGAGATGCTCATGAATATTTTGTCAACAAAAATTGCTTCCACTGATATTTAATTTTATTATCGATAAATAAAATTAAATAGTTCTAATCATTATCTAATAAAAAAAGAAAGAATTCTTTCAAATTAAATTATAGATCATCACAGAGGTCGGAGGGATGGTAGTCGGTGGGCGACGAAGGTCGGAGGGATCGTAGTTGATGGATGACACAGACAGGAGGTATCGTACTCGACATATAATGGTAGAGGGATGGACTATAGTAATTGGGCAACAGAGGTCAGAGGGACTATAGTCAACGGGTGATATAGGTCAAGGGACCATAGTTGTCGTGAGATGGGGGACGGAGGGACCATGGTTGAAGGAACCATAGTCGGCAGGTGACTATGGTCGCAGAGACTATAGTCAACGGGCGACTATGGTGGGAGGGATCGTAGTCAGGCGGGTGATGGTTGTCAGAGGACCATAATCGGTAGGTGAAGGTGGTCGAGGGACCATAGTCGACGGGTGAACGTGGTTAGAGAGACTATCTTCGTCGGTTGACGGAGGCTAGAGGGAATGTACTCGATGGGCAACAGAGTTCGGAAGGACAATAGTTGAGAGACGGTGGTCGGAGGGACCATAAATGGTGGGTGACGGTGGTCGGAGTGATCATAATTAGAGGGAGCAGGTGGCCAGAGGAACCATAATCAATCAGCGACAGTAGTCGAAGGAACTGTAGTTGAGCAACATTGGTCAGAGGGTCCATAGTTGAGCAATGGTGATCGCTGGGACCACAATGTGTAAGCAACATTGGTTAGAGGGGCTGTAGTTGGTGGGTGATAGTGGCGAGAGGGTCTGTAGCCTACGAGCGACAGTGATCAGAGTGGTGTTTAAGTGGTAGCCGAGCAAAGGTTCAGCGGCATTGTCGAGGCTAGGCAGGGATCGGTGTCTGAGATGAGGACCAACGACGGTTGTCAGACGAGCAGTGGTATGGCTACGTTCGTCGGACAGGCGGTGGCCCGTCGGCTGAGCGGAGATTTGGCTTTGGTTGATGGAAGTTCGCCGTCGGTGGTGCTTATATAGAATTCCATGATTCTTGAAGCCTCAGAGCTCTCTCCAATTTAGAGCCAAAGGCCCCTTCATGAAGAGATCATGAGCATATTTATAAGTTTTTGTGAGTTTCTTGCTCTATAAATATGGAGAAGATGCAGTGCTAATCTGATAGCTTATATCGATTCCCCTAATCGTATAGCATTTATTCATGCATTTAATTGCTTTAATGATGTATGAATTAAACGATCTTAGGCCATGGGATTCATCTTGCGAGCCCCTCGATTTAACTATCAGCAAACTATATTTGAACATCTTTTAATCATCCAATATATTCTTTAAGATTATTCTCATAAAAAAACGCATAAGAGATATTCTGACCCAATTTTTTTCTTCATTGAACCACAGAAGCGTGCGTCAGGTCGGCTCCCTGTAGCTCATCATTTCTCTCTTGCGTGTGGCCTTTTCTGTTTCACAAGACAGCTCCAAGCGTGGCAAGAAGATAAACCATAATCAATATTTTATTATTAATTTCCGTGGCCGGTAATCAAATCCTAATAACATCCTCTGTATAATTAGACATCTAAGTACAGACAAACCGCGTAAACAAGAGAGATAGAAGAGACCCAGCGGCGGCTGATGAAGCCAGAGATGGGGAGGAAAGAGGTCGGAAGAACGCCGCTGGTGCCTTCGCCGCCGACGCCGCCTTCCGCGGGTGGAAGGAGAGAGAAACAGTTCAGGGGAGTAAGGATGAGAAAGTGGGGGAAGTGGGTGGCGGAGATAAGAGAGCCGAACAAACGGTCTAGGATATGGCTTGGATCCTACTCGACTCCGGTGGCGGCAGCGAGGGCTTACGACACAGCCGTTTATCTCCTGAGAGGACGCTCAGCTCGGCTTAACTTCCCGGAGGAGATCGAAGTCGAGGAGGTGACAAACGATTTCAACAGCGGAATCACGGCAGCTTCTATTAGGAAGAAGGCTTCAGAGGTTGGGGCAAGAGTGGACGCTCTGCAGACGGGTGTCATCCCGCCCCCTCCGCCTCCACCACCGCCGCCGTCGAGATCGTGGAAATACCCGGACCTCAATTTGGAGCCGAGCCCCGAGACTTCCGATGAAGAGTGAAGAAGTCTCTGTATTTTTTTTTTTTCTTTTACAGGATGGAGAAGATGACGATTTTGGTCAGATGGGAAGACTGTTCTATTTCCTTGAAGAAGGACTTATGGAGGGGATCGCCGGTGTTGTCAGCCTGCAACGGCGTGGTTGAGTGAGTGAAGACGGCCGGTAAGCGAGAGGACCGCGTCAAGTTGCGGTTACTGCTTTCCTCTGTAAATTTCTCCCTTTGTCCGTTTAAAAAAACGATTTTTATTAATAACAAAGAGAGTAAAAGAAGGTAATTTGAGCTGCATAATTCTTCCCTGCAAGTTCGAAGCTTTTTCTTTGTTTATTACTCTTCTAACTGTGTCCGTAGAGAATTGCTGAACCTGCCCAAATCACTTAGGAATCTTAAAAAAGACGCACGGATCATTATTAAGAATTTTTCATAATGAGTAGCTCTATCTGAGTTTTGACTATTAGCTAAAGAGATTTGGATTTGAGTCTTACATATCTGATGTGTTTGTGAATTTGTTTTAATTGACCTAAATATTCCCCAGAAATAATGCGTAACTCTAACAACGGTACATATAACATCTAACATACATAAGCTGACATAGTTAAATATAGTTGACAAGTACTTCGATGTCAAATATGTCGAAAGGTGCTCCATAGCCGTTCTTGCTTGATAATTCCTATTCGCCAGTCTCTTATGTGACGGTACTCATACGAAGCACATGTCTGAAAAAATTTATCTTATATCAGTCATATCATCGACTACATCAAACATCTCATCACCACCACATTTGTCTTGATTTTCTATAGTCAATTTGGTGTCCAAATGTTGATGTTGTTTGTATGTTGATATAACATTTATTTCTCAAGTAGAAACAATCAAAGTAGTAGGCTCCCTTAGACTTTGATTAGGCTTTGTTGTTATTGTCCATTTTTTTCTCATTTATTTGTTGAACCTTCATTATATGTTGTAGGTAAGGCCCTCCATTTGGACCATTTCTTTCTCATAGTTTGCTTTAAGAACAATTTATAGCCTGTATGATTAAACTACATATCTAAAGTATTGTAATGTGACCTCTCAGTTTCTCCAAGTCCAAAGCTACTCTTTTTCTAGCTAAAACCAGCTCACCACTAAGCCTTGGTATGAGACAGCTTTATTATTATTTTTTGAAATGGTTTTTTTTAGTATAAATTTTTTTTGAATTAAAAAATTATTTCAAAAAATAATAATAATAAAACCGTCTCAAACGAAATCTACTATAGTTTTTGATATTGATGATTTCTTCTAATGGCTTCAATTTAGATTTTATTTGAAGATGGCTTTCTTCCTGTTTTTTAAAGCATTTTTAGGCTTCATTTGGAATGACTTTTTTATTGCTTTTTGAATCAACTTTTTAGTACAAAAATTTTAATGTTTATACTAAAAAGCTGCTTCAAACGAAGCCTTGAAAAGTACTAGAAAGCCGCTTTAAAAAAGTAATAAGAAAGCTATTCCAAACGAAGGCTTTCTTCCTGCTTCTTAAAACAGCTTTATAGTACAAAAATTAAAATTTTGTTCTAGAAAGCTGCTTTAAGAAGCAATAAAAAAGCTATCCCAATCGAAGCCTTAGTTATGATATTCTCAGATCAATTTAAAATTAGTTATATGTAACTAATTTTTATTTCATATTTAAAATATATTTTCAATAACATTTAATGCATGAATCAAAAGCTGAAACTTCATCCAAAAGAAAGCAAAACTGGCAAAAACTAACCAAACGAAAACAGGTGAGAGAGAATGACTGAAAACCAAAAGAAATAAATCAGAATATCTTGAAGCAAATCACATCTTAATTATCATTCATTCTATACTGAAATTAGTAAAAACATAAAAAATGCACTAATCTTACTATAAAATGGACGGATTTCAAATTCGTCCGAATATATATATATTTTTTTATCGATCGAAATGGCTTCGGGAGGGATTAATTATTCTGTGCGGTCACCCGGAAGACATTCGGAGACGAATCACAGAGCGTCGTGTCATTTTTTTCTGTGTAAAGATCTTGCATATCAGGTGACATGACACGCTCTCATTCATCTCCGAATGATCCTAAGGAAGCAATCAATAGACTTTTTGCCCAAATGGTTTATATTTGTTTTGACGTATATGAATAGACGCATTATTTGACTTTGTAGCATGACGTTAATTAATGGCTATTAGCTTCGTATTAAGTAGCAGAGGAATGCATGAATCAGGTGGGCATCTCTGCCTACCTAATGGGGCAAATATAAATGCTACGTGCCTAAAAGCAGAAGAAAGAAAGGAAAAAGATGGCAAGCTTCCAAAGACTTGTATAATTTGATTTGTTTTCTTCTTTCGGCAGCCAATTAACCAATCTCTCTTTTAAATAAGAGGCCAAAAGAGAGAGAATTAGGACATTTAGCATTATACAGTTGTTGGTTGTCATTAAGCTGATTCAAGTTTCTTAAGGGATGGAATATTAGTGACAAAAGATAAAGATTTTTATTTTATTTTATTAATATTGTATAAAAATTCAATGGTATATATAAATATGTAGAGAAGATAGGTAAATGTAGGACTGCAAATCAGGGGCGGAGCCAAGATTTTTTGATGTGGGGTACAAATCATTGAAGTAAAAATAATAATAATAATAACATAAGCAATTTGATCAAATGATGTACAACATATATGAGATATACTCGAATGAAACCGAGATAGTGGAACTTAAAGCAATAAAAAAAGCTGTACTTTGTTGAACAAATTAATCAATTTAATTTAACAAGAAAGGAACTAAGATAATAACAGTATGCTACGTACCCAATACAGAAACAAAAGGAATTTCTAAACTTACTAGAGCACCAGGAAAAACAATACGCTGCCTAATCACCACAACAACCAAAAAATATAACACATGCTATAAATTTAAACAATAAGCTTGTAGTTTGTGTTTACTTCAATAAGCTGTAGATTCCTGAAGCCCAACTCTATAGGATAAAACACTAAGTGCAAACAATGAGGATTGCACACGAACATGTGGGTTCCAACCCCGATGGCTTCACGTGGGATGACCAGTCAATCTCCGGGCTGGGGATTTCATATGAACAGGCGGAAGTGGATTGGCTAGAGCAAGAGGGAAGCGCAGATGGATCAAGATCGGCGGGGATTGGCGCGATCGTGTAAAGGGTTAGGGTTGTCCGCCGTGGGAGCGAGAGAACTGAACGAACACGTCGAACAGGGAATTTCATGCGTTCGTATCTCTCTTCCGAGAGGACCAAGCTTGCGCGAGCCGCAAAGAAGGACGGTCCAATTAAGTGCCAGGCGTGCTTGCAGTTGCGGGATTACTATTGGGATAAAAAAGAAAACATTTATTTGATTTAACCTGTAGTTAATGCATCCTAAATAAAATTAATTAGGTGCTAATACCAAAGTCAGTGTGGGCCCATGCCCCTAGGGCCTCCACACTGCATCCGCCCCTGGCTTTACCTACCCTTTACCTAGACTCTTGACACGCTTGACTTAAATTTTCACGGACACGTGTACATTTCATGTGGCGAATTTTTAGTGAATGTTCGGACCTAGAAATAGATCCGGTGACCGGACCTGTTAATTTAGGTCCAATAACCGGACCTAATAATTTGCTTGGAACTGACACATTCAACACACCATAAATCCACACCATTACAATTCACAAACGCGAAAGAACCACCAAACAACAATAGAGCTACAAACAATTAGATCAATAGAAGGCTTTCACACCAATTCCATCAAATCTTATAATGATTTGGGAAGAATAAGATATGATATTGTTCTAAACTGGGCTCATTCAAATCAAACAAAAAAAAATTAAGTTTCATTAGGGACGACTTCCTTCCTGCTTCTTAAAGCAACTTTCTAATAAAAAAAAAACTTAATATTTATATTAAAAAACTGTTTTAAAAAACAGTAAAAAAAGTCATCTCAAACGAAACCTTATTAAATTTGCAAATCAGAATCAAATCTGAACAAATCAAAGCATTGAAATAAAAAAAGTCATCTCAAACGAAGCCTTATTAAATTTGCAAATCAGAATCAAATCTGAACAAGTCAAAGCATTGAATGCACATTAATTTAAATTTTCGAAACATTTAAACATCACAATGCAAGTTTTATCAAAATTCATGCAACTAAAATGAAATTATTGCCACTTAAAAGCTGGTTCACCTTGAAACCACTTCACTAAGAATATAATATTTTCAAATAAAGCAGCATATTCCTAGAGCACAAAACATGAACAGTCACAATTTTTATCTGAATAATTTAGTTATAATTAGGCAGTGCTGTGATATGCAAGCAGAAGAGTATACAAGATGGTCATTCCAAAGCTATTGAGCTCTTAATTCTACTCCCAGACATTATTGTGTTAACTGACTATTGAGTTCTAAAAATATGGAATTGTTTAAGAAAAAATATTTGGCCACTATTCATAATAAGCTACAGGCATCGAAGAACTGGATTCAAAACAAAGAGTACAGATTTAACAAAAGCATAGAACTTACCTGCCAGTTTAGCCACAGCTAGAGAGCAAGAAACTAGCTCGATAAAGGAATTTTCATAACTCAGGTTTGTCAACATAAATCACTTCAGCTAACAAAGCGAGATTCCACTTCTCACCTAAACGCAGCATATTTACCAGCGTGGAATTTATACAAGCAAGGCAAGCCATTAATCGATCTAAATATTTTTCCCCCCATTCAATTAACTAGGTGCAAAAGAGAAAGATGGGGAAGATGAACATAGCCAACCAATCAAGAGTTGACACATGAAATTTTTACACACTTGCACACAACAACCTACCTAGTTATTGCATTACTAAAATTCATTAGATTTCTAAGCTAAAGATATTTATATTCATCATTAAAATAATTTCATTTTGGTTCATCCAAAATCAAACCGAACTGACAAAAAAAGTTTGGTTATATTTAATTTAATTTGAAAAATAATGTGGTTGGCTCATTTTTTCAAAATTTCATAATTAAAATCAATTGATTTAACTAATTCATAAATCAAACCATTCAAATTAACTAAAATGCACACCCCTACCACAATGCCATCCCATTTTCACTTTAATCTTCGCATGACCACATTAATATTTTATCCCTCGTCCTTTATAGAGTTTCATGTCATTCTCCTCCATTCTCTAGATCACATGCCTATACAAAAATGCAAAGATCTCATGCATTTAACAAAGCTATTTAGATTCAATAAATTTACTCAAAAAAAAAAAAAAAAAACTATAACACCTTATCATAAAAATA